TCTCCTTTCAAAAGGATTGAGAATCTCATCCACATGACTAACTATTACAATAACATGGCATTGATTAAGAGCTTTGTGTGCTTCATTTCTGACAACTGTTAGCCACTGATGAAGCTGTTTGACTCCTTCCTTCTCCAATATATTGACTACTATCAGGAACACACCACCAGAACCTTGTAAGAGATTCTCAATGACAGCACTGTGACTGGAGTAGTATTCCGAATGACCAGCAAAATCATGAAGAATGATGTTACCCATTGTCCTGTGTCTTAGTTTATAAGGAATGATGCCAGCAGTACAGGGCACTACCCCTCCAACATTTCTAAAGGAACCAAGAACAAAAGGGCCAGTAGCTGTGCCATTGATGACATGACTAAGAGTACTTTTACCAGCTCCAGGATTACCCACAAGAAGAACGTTAACATAAGAATCAATTGGATGAGATAATTTTATATCATTAGCAAACTTCTTAAAGACAGAAAGAATATTAGCTTTTGTCCCCTCTTTAGCTAATTTAAATGGTGTACTCCCCTCATTGTCTTTAGCCAATGGATTACATTTACCAGTTGATAGTAAGTATTCAACAGCTGCAGGAGCATACCCACTTGTTGCAGCAGCAAAATGAAGAGGTGTCCACCCCCTCCTATCAACAGTCATTGGATCATGGTTCCACTCATTGATTAGATATTTAATTACATCAGGTGAGTTCCTAATAGCTGCTGCATGAAGAACAGTCTTACCATTTTTGGTAGTAGCCATTGGATCACAGTGACACTCATTAATGAGATACTTTACAATATCAATGTGTCCAGCAGCACTGTGAAGAACAGTCACACCATCTTCGGTAGTAGCCATTGGATCACAGTGACACTCATTAATGAGATACTTTACAATATCAATGTGTCCAGCAGCACTGTGAAGAACAGTCTCACCCCAATCGGTAGTAGCCATTGGATCACAGTGACACTCATTAATGAGATACTTTACAATATCAATGTGTTCAGCAGCACGGTGAAGAACAGTCTCACCATTTTCGGTAGTAGCCATTGGATCACAGTGACACTCATTAATGAGATACTTTACAATATCAATGTGTTCAGCAGCACAGTGAAGAACAGTCTCACCATTTTCGGTAGTAGCCATTGGATCACAGTGACACTCATTAATGAGATACTTTACAATATCAATATGTCCAGGCAGGAATCTTTGTCCAGCAGCATGGTGAAGAACAGTCTTACCCCAGTTGTTAGTAGCCTTTGGGTTACATTGATAATCATTGATCAAGCATTTCATGACTTCAAGTGATCCTGTCATGGCTGCTTTGTGAAGAACAGTATATCCATACTGATCAGTAGCCATTGGATCACAGTGACACTCATCAATGAGATATCTCATCACATCAACATGATTACCTTCTGCAGCCCAATGAAGACAAGTCTGCCCATTGCTATCTCTTTCGTGTGGGTCACAGTGATATTTAGTGATGAGATCTTTTGTAACATCTAACCAGCCATTCCTTGAAGACAAATGAAGTAGACTAACATCATCCCATATACTATAGTTTCTTTTAATTTTATTTGGTTCCTTCACTAATGGTAGTAAGCGAACAGCTTCTTTATGATCTTTATAGTCCAATGCAGCCCAACACTTGTCCTCTAACGACATCTTGTGATCAG